GCTTGGCTTGCCACTGCCCCCAGACCACTCCTTTACATCCAGTGCCACCACCATACCCCTCTGCCTTCAGACCGCTTGCTACCTCTGGACCCAGTGCTGCTACCAAACCCCCCGCTGCCCCCAGATCATTCTTGTGCCCCAGGCTGGATCCAGCCTGCAAGAAGCCCCAAGGTGCTACCACAGCACCTCAACACCAGATGGCAGGAAAACATATAATAAATAACAGCCTGTTTGCCTTGAGAGAACTGCAGACAATCTTATATCAGTAAGAGTTTCCTGATAGTTTTCAGGGTAACACTCCACCAGACCACGTAAAGTCACTTGGTTTGGGGGTTTATATAATCTATGTGGGACAATATTACACCAAAATAAGTCTGAAAACAATGATACAAGACCAGGCCCTGAAATCACCTGAAAAAGATGAAGTTTCATACTAAAAGTAATCTTGAGCTTTTCGGAAGAGAAATGGTCTCCCTGATATGTTTTTACAGCACCTACAACAATAGGGATCTTGTTGACAACCACAGCTCTTCCATACTATGGGAAAACAGGAAAATATTAGCCTACCCTTACATTTCTACCATTGACATGATGTGCCTTTGACTTCCATAAGAAAGTCTCCCCACACATTAATTTCTATAACATTAACTACGGGACCCGAACCTGTTCAGCCTCCACTAGAGAAGGCTGAGGGGGGATCTAGTGGCCTGTTACAAACTAGTCAGAGGGGACCAGCAGGCACTGGGGAAATCCATGTTCCCCCGAGCACTACCAGGAGTGACCAGGAATAATGGTCACAAGCTGGCAGAGGGCAGATTTAGGCTAGATATCAGGAGGCGTGACTTCACGGTCAGGGCAGCTAGGATCTGGAACCAACTTCCAAGAGAAGTGGTGCTGGCTCCTACCCTGGGGGTCTTTAAGAGGAGGCTAGATGTATACCTTGCTGGGGTCATTTGACCCCAGTACTCCTTCCTGCCATGGCAGGGGGTCAGACTCGATGATCTGCTCAGTTCCCTTCCAACCCTAGAAACTATGAAACTGCATTCAGCTGAGGATAAAGGAGGCCCAACTGATTTATTGCAAAGCCAGAAGGGAGGTGTAATATTATTAAACTTCATTGTGTTTTATTTTTGAGTAAATAAGCGCCTTTTATAAGCAAATCAGCCAGACCTTTTTGAAAGGTTTATGAAATATGGACTTGTCAGGTGTCCAATCAAGTAAAGGCAGAGTACCTTACTCAGCAAACTAAAAGTGGAACCAAAGCATGAAATGAGTTTGACAAGTGCTTTGAGAAAAACAGAAGTAGCTAATAATTATTAGTAGAAATCAGATTGATATTTTACTGTGAGATACGAGCTCTTTTTTTTCCCTCTACTTCCTTGCACAACTATTACATGCTGCACTGCGGGGGTGGGGGCAGCAGGGCTTCACGAACCGGTTGGGTTACCTCCCTTAGAAAAATACATCCAGAAAGAAATTGTTTCTCTGTAGGCAGACCCATGCACCAGAGCCCCTTTAAAAGAAGGCTCTAACACCCTTCCAGATGTATTAGGGTTTTCCAAGGGTCTGCTCACCTATATTAGCAATGAGGCCATAACCATCCCTTTTTAGCAGCTCTTCCACAATCCAAGTCATTGTTTTCCTCTAGTCTGTCTTATTTAGACAGTATCCACAGATATATAGGGAAAGTGAGGTTGATCTGTGTAAAATATCACTTGTCCCTCCACAACTTTAAAACTTCCACTGCCTCAATCTAAGTGAAATTATCATACTGGCCATCTTGCTATTATAGAGATGACAAATCTGTAAACTGCTGCCATGATGCATCTTCTCAGTACCTATGCCCTGAACTAGGTATCTTAAATTATACACTGTGACCAAGAAGTTTGCTTCTATATCTTTCCCAGATGAGTCTCATGTTCTTCTGTTCAACAGCCATAAGCCTTTATTGTGATTTAACATATGAAAGATCAAAACTAAATCTCAAAAGCCCAATAAGTTGCCAACTACAATTATTGTCAGTCTGGAAAGGGATTCAGTCATACTTGGCACAGCCACGACAATGGTCCTATTTCTCAACAAATGGAGATGTCTATCCTTCATTCAGTTTAGTAGAGGCAGTCAGGATATCACAGCAGCATGACAGACGTTTTCCATAACAGAACTGCTTACAATAGTTTAGTCTGCTTGAAAATAATGTCACATATATACAAATTTGGAAAGCTGTTTACAAAACTTTAACTATGCAACTGCTGACCCTACAGCATCTACTCAGAAAGCAAGCCTCAGCAGAGCTTTGGGATGACTAGAGTGCACCCCTACCTTCTTTGCTTCTCTAGAAAATTAGCTTCTTCAGCTTTTTCATGGTCCCACAATGTGCAGCCATCTGCTTCTGATTAATATACAGTTGTTCAAGATAAAACAACATAGTTTTCAAAAGAATTGTGGAGCCAAGTTTAATAAAAGCCTGTTTAGCTACTGAAGCCTTTACATCTCCCATTTTCTTGTTTCACTATAAATAAGTAACAAATGACACTTTTTTGTTACTTGTGCCCTAACTCTCTCTAGGGACTGAAAAGATTATGTAATAAGGCAGAGAAACAGCTTCCATTAGCAGGGCAGCAGATAATTTAGGCATCTATTTCAAGGTGACTAGCTTTCAGTTAATGAGACTACAGAATAGAGTTAAGTAATGCAGAGTAGAGAGAACAGGTGAGACTGGTATCCTTTACTTTTTCCATGTTTTACTCTGATGGAAAGGGACAGAAGTGTAATCAATACATGACTGAACACTAATTAGTATGCAGAGCACTGAGTAAAGCCAATCACTGAACCCAAAACAAAGAGCAAGGATAGCACACATTGGTTGCTTTTTAGAAGGGTTTGTTTCTTGGTTTTTGTTAGTGTCCACACAGAAAACAGATGAATAAAGGAAAGGAAAGTTCTTGTTTTAAACAGAAACTATAGTCCTCCCCACGATGTTTAAACTGGAAGCTTTGCTCTCATGACAAGGTGTTTCCTCAGGTCAGCCATCCAGAAGCCAGCAGGCTAGAGCTGTTCCACACAGAAAACTAAAATTCCAGCGCCAATACAGGTTTCAGACACTTGATGTCTTGTCTGCTATTGCATGTCTTGGTAACAAAACAAAATATCCAAGTTCAAAGCATTTTATATGTAACAAAGTGACTGCCTTTTTAAAGTACTGAGTAAACACCAAGATACATGCAAATTTAGGTTAAATGTTTACAGAACACTTTAAACATCCAAAATTAAAGTCAATTAAATCCAGCAATAAGGCTAAACTGAAATGCAAACCCCCAGGCATGCCATGTAGCAGCACATGCAAACATGCCTTTTTTTCCTCCCAGGTTATTAAAAGTAAACTTTAATCTAAACTCCACCATCATCATAACTCCTTTTGTAAGATTAGTGTCAATGTAAGATTGAAAGGTGCAGTTTGATAAAGAGAATGGCAGACTCTCTTGGAGAAAAATTAATATTATGTTAGAAGGTCTGGTGTACAGACAGAAACATGAACGTCTGAGTCCAGGAATAAAGACAGCGTGTGTTCTGTTAAACTTCTCAGAATCCTTTTCTTGCAACACGTTTGGCATAGCAGATGGAAACGTCAGGAGTTTTATTTATTAAGGGTAAAATTTCAGAAGTGCTTGGTACAGTCACCGTTCTTTCCCTGGAGGGAGAGGCAAGGGAAGTGCAGGATTTTCACTGGTGGAACAGCACATACATGGCATTCTTCCATCAGACTTGCCTGACAATAAGCGGGACAAAAACTAAGCAAGAAGAAGGACAAGACAGAATAAAGTGGGCTGGCGAGGGAATAGGACAACTGTTTTCCTACACCAGATGATACAGCCTCTCCATGCAGGCAGCAGGAAGGTCGCTTCATTAATTTTCATCGTCGCTGCAAATTCAGAACTCAGCTGAGAGTTTAGTACGAGCCTTTTTACTAGTCAAAAGATGACAATATTCCCTGGCATTTTTTTGCCTCTATTCTTCAGAGAAACCCATCCAGAAAAAAAACAAAAAACACTCACTAGCCGGTGACCACTTATTGATCAACGGGGCTGAAGTTGCAGGCTGTTCTCAGGTGGCTCCAGTCAGAGCAGCCTGTATTCAGGAAAGACGCCAGCTTCCCCACTATTCTCTCCAAAATCGGGAGAGCGAGTGCTGCACAGGAATTCAACGAACGTATTAATGATTCGATACCAACTCCCTTGGAAAGGAAAACGACAACCTTGCTATCTACATGGTCACCTAAAATGAGGAAAGGACGTGGCTTTCACGTGAAGTGGAGATGTCCAACATGCTTGACACGACACTTGACATTAGTTAAACCATTATATTTGTTCAATCACACCTACGTCCAATGGCGCACTCAAGAGTCTTCCGTACTTCTCTTACGAAAACTTTGCTCTGCTTTTAGAGGGACTCAAGGAGTCCGACTGCAGCGGCGAGGAGCAACCACAACCCAATCACGACCCCCTTTAGATGACTTTCGAAGCACTCGAGCCGCTCTGGACAACTCACCTTCCCTCCCCCTCCTCTTGGGAAGGAAATCGGTCGCCAGTTCGCTCAAATGCCACTTGAGTAGCCAGACCACGTTTCAGCCTCCGAGCGCCTTGCTCAACTGGGGCGTGAAGCAGCTGGAAGCCGCCCCAGACTCCCACGCCCATTCCCTCGCGCTTACCCAAACCCGGCGACTTGGGGGGGCAGCACACACTTCTACAGACAGGTGGAGGTGGCTCCGAGGGGCACCCGTTTGGGAAGGCAACGGGGCAGGTGCGGGGGGACTCACCTGTACTGCTTGGGGTCGCTAGGGGACTTGACGATGTCGGGGTCGCTCAGGCCGGGCCCGGACCGGCGGTCGCCGCCCTCCGCGTCGGGCTCCGGGAGCAGCCGGCCCTTGGCGTCGCGACCGCCCTCC